TATAAATACTTATAAAGTAATTAAAGAAGTTTAGTATTGGAGCAAGGACAGAATCTAGTAATACACATATAGGACACTTGATTGGCTTATTCTGATTGAATTATAGTTGACATGCAGTATTCTATTATTTGCTGGTGTACAACATAGTGGTTCTACAAATCTATACATTATGTAATGCTTACTACATACAATAAGTGTAGTTGCCATCTGTCAACATACCAATTTATTACATTATCTACTATATTCCCTATGCTGCACTTCCCTAACTTATTTTATAACTAAAAATTTTTAGTTCTTAATCCCCTTCACCTATTTCACCCATCCCCCTATACCCCTCTATTTTGACAACCACCAGTTTGTTCTCTGTATTTATGAGCCTGTTTCTGTTTCTTTTGGTGTTTATTTGTTCATTTGTTTTTACTTGTAGCTTCCACATATAGGTGAAAATACACAGTGTTTTTTTCTGACTTATTTCACGTAGCATAATATCCTCTAGGTCCATCCATGTTGTCACAAATGGCAAGATTTCATTCTTTTTTATGGCTATTATTCCATTCTGTGTGTGTGTGTGTGTGTGTGTATATATATATATATATATATATATATATAAATATATATATAACATCTTTATCCATTCATCTATGGATGGGCATTTGGGTTGCTTCCACACCTTGGCTATTGTAGATAATGTTGCAATAAACAGGGGTGCGTGTGTCTTTTCCAAACAGTGTTTTCATTGTCTTTGGGTAAATACCCAGTAGCAGAATTACTGGATTATATGGTATTTCCATTTTTATTTTTTTGAGAAATCTGCATACTGTTATCTATAGTGAACAATTTACATTCCCACCAACATTCTCCACATCCTTGCCACCACTTGTTATTTCCTGTCTCTTTGATACTAACCATTCTGACTGGTGTGAGGTTATATCTCATTATGGTTTTGATATGCATTTCTGTGGGAACCTCATTTATGACAAAGGTGACCCTGTAAAGCATCAAAGTACAATTTTGTCAATCAATGGTCACAGGTCAACTGGATATACATATGACGGAAGTTAATTTTGCGCCATATCCTCTAAAAAAATCAATAGAGGTGGATTGTAGGTTTAAATGTTAACATTAAAATAATACAAATTCTGGAAGATAAAAAGGAGAATTTTGGAGGTGCTTGGCTGGCTCAGTCAGCAGAGCATGCAACTCTTGATCTGGGGTGTGTGAGTTCAAGCCCATATTGGGTATAGAAATTACTTAAAAACAAAATCTTTAGAAAAAAGAAGAATTTTCAAGACCTTGAAAATTTCAAGACCTTGAAGATTTTTAAAACAAGGCACAAAGAGCACTAACCAGCCCCTAGCAACCACCACTTTACTCTCTATTTCTATGAAACCAGTTTTTATTTACTTTTTAAGATTCCATATATAACTGACACCAGACAGTATTTGTCTTTCTCTTATTTTCCTTAGCATTAAGCCCTCCAGGTTGGTCAATGGTATAGCAAATGGCAAGATTTCCTTCATCTGTCAATGGACACTTAGGTTATTTCCACATCTTGGCTACCTGAATAATGCTGCTGTACACATGGGTACAGATACTTCTTCGAGATACTGGTTTTGTTTCCTTTGGGCATCTACCCAGAAGTGGGATTTCTGGGTTATGTGGCAGTTTTATTTTTAATTTTTTAAAGAGCCTCCATATTGTTTTCCATAGTGGCTGCACCAGTTTACACTCACACCAACAGTGAACAAGCGTTCCCTTTTCTCCACATCTCTGCCAACTTTTGTAATCTCTTTTTTGATAAAAGACATCCTAACAGGTGTGAGGTATTATCTCAATGTGGTTTTGATTTGCATTTCCCTGATGATTAGTGATGTTGAGTACCTTTTCATGTACCTGTTGGCCATCTGTATGTCCTCTTTGGAAAAATGTCTTTTCAGGTCCTTTGCTCATGTTTTAATTGAATTGTTTGATTTTTTTGCTATTGAGTTGTAGAAGTTGTAATATATTTTGGATATTAACCCCTTATCAAATATATGATTTACAAATATTTTCTCCCATTTGTACATTGCCTTTTTGGGTTTTTTTGACTATTTCTTTTGCTGTGCAGAAACTTTTTGGTTTGACATAGTGTCACTTATTTTAGCTTTGGTGGCCTATGCTTTTATTGTCTTTTATCAAAAAAACAACAAAAACAAATACACAAACAAAAAAACCCACAAAAAATAAAAACCTCACACTGCCAAGACCAATGTCAAGGAGCTTTTTCTCAATGTTTTCTTCTAGGACTTTATGGTTATAGGTCTTACATTTAAGTCTTCAATTCATTTTTAGTTTTTCTGAGGCATGTAAGATAGGAGTCCAGGTTCATTATTTTGCATGCGGATATCCAATTTTCCTACCACCACTTATTGAATTTATCCAAGGGATACAGGAATCAGGGATGCTGATTCATAGGGGCACATGTACCCCAATGTTTATAGCAGCACTTTCAATAATAGCCAAATTATGGAAAGAGCCTAAATGCCCATCAACTGATAAATAGATAAAAAGATGTGGTTTATATATACAATGGAATACTACTTGGCAATGAGAAAGAATGAAATCATGCCATTTGCAGCAAGGTGAATAGAAATGGAAGGTATTATGCTGAGTGATACAAGTCAGAGAAGAACAGATATCGTATGTTTTCACTCATATGTGGATCTTGAGAAACTTAACAGAAGACCATAGGGGAAGGGAAGGGGAAAAAATAGTTACAAACAGAGAGGAGGGAGGCAAACCATAAGAGACTCTTAAATACAGAGAACAAACTGAGGGTGGATGGAGGGGTAGGGGAGAGGGGAAAGTGGGTGATGGGCATTGAGGAGGGCACTTGTTGGGATGAGCGCTGTGTGTTGTGTGTAAGCAATGAACCATGGGAGTCTACTCCAAAAACCAAGAGCACACTTTACACACTGTATGTTAGCCAATTTGACAATAAATTATATTAAAGAAAGAAAAAAAAAAAAAGAAAGAAAAAACTAACTTGTCCCCATTGTGTATTCTTGGTCAAAGACTAGTTGACCATATATGCATGGGATCATTTCTGGGCTCTTTATTCTGTTCCATTGGTCTGTGTGCCTGTTTTTATGCCAGTTATCACATATAAAATGGAATACAACGTAAACATTAAAGAAATGACATACACTTATGTTTACTGATATGGAAAACTATGTCATATTGTTGAAAGAAAAAAATCAAGTTATAAACAAAAAGTATAGGGAATGAATATATTCACAGGTATTTTTTTTTTAATTTTTTAATTTTTTTTTTCAACGTTTATTTATTTTTGGGACAGAGAGAGACAGAGCATGAACGGGGGAGGGGCAGAGAGAGAGGGAGACACAGAATCGGAAACAGGCTCCAGACTCTGAGCCATCAGCCCAGAGCCTGACGCGGGGCTCGAACTCACGGACCGCGAGATCGTGACCTGGCTAAAGTCGGACGCTTAACCGACTGCGCCACCCAGGCGCCCCACACAGAGAGGTATTTTAAAGGAGGTCCATTGGTTTTTTAGTTTTACTCTCTTTATTGTATTGTTTACTTTCTATTATAATATTATTTATTCTTATAACCAAAATATTTTGTTTTAATCTAAGGTCTTGCTGAATCATATTGCTTTTGCTTACAAAATATCCTCTCTTTTACATTCATATAATTCAAGCCCTGTTTCAGGTATTCATTATTTTTTACATGGCTATGTAATAACAATAGTTGCTCTGTCTCAACAATAATAACACATGATATCTGTATATTACTTACCAGTTTACAAAGTACTTTCAATACATTATCCCCACTAAGACTCAAAAACAACCTTATGAATAAAGAAATATGAAGAAAATCTACCTTTACTGAGGTGAATTCTGGTAAAGGTGAGAAAGTAGAGATAGATAGTGGGGTCAAAAAATCTAAAAAGTGTTGTTATTTCTGACATTGTGATGTCTACATGTAGAGATATTGGCCAAATAAAACCTTCTCTCAATATATGAATATGTCTATTCAATTTGACAAAACAAAATACAGATGATAAATAATAACTTTTTGAATTAGAGATTTCTTCACGATCAATGAAAGCACAATTTAACTGAATGATGCAAAGTTAGAATTTAAACAACAAACTCATTCCAAAGACAAGTGATCTAATGTCATGAAGCCATTTTAATACCTAAAGCATCAAAGCTTAAACTACAGAAATGTTTTCATTGTGCAGAAGATTCAGGTAAAAGAGCCTTCCAGAATTTTTTTTGTTTCGTTTTCAAGAAGCTTTTACTTTATTGGTTTCCTTGACAACAATGAATTTTCTGTGGAGCAGAATATGCTAGGAAACCGGGAAAGGAACACCACCTCATCTGACCTCACTGTGACATTGTGGTAAAAGATCTTGGAAGAACCTGATACAGAGCACAAGGATCTGTAAGAAACTGGCTGTTAGCTAATAAATGGGAGGACTAAAGTGTATATGAATTTATAACTTCTTGGATGTGTTTTGCACTGTGGTTACTTTAAAAATATAAGTGAGAACATTCATAATTTGTTACTTTACACTAAAATCTAAGGGACAAACTTGAGCACATTCAAAATCTATGGTACATATTTTGCCCTATGTCCTGGCTTCTGTAGCTGTACTTTAGAGAATGGATTAAAAGGACACGCTTATTAGATAGAAAGGTGTCATCCCCTCACATCAAGGTACACGAGGAGAAAAGTTCAAGAATTATAAATTCTTAGAAAACATAAAAAATCCTTTGGGCCCCAGCAAAGAAAATGTCAACGAGTCAAAAGAGACTAGATGGCTATTGACCAGTTTCATGAAGGCAAAGCTGCAAGCCAAGAAGGAATAATGCTTTCTCACCATGTGTCTAAGGCACAAATGACACTAATCCTTTTTAATGGTCACAAAAGCTGACAACTTACTCAGCCTTAGAACTGAAGGCACAAAATCATCTCTGGGAATGACTCACCATAAACAGGTCACGAGCACCAATGTCAACAGCTAACAGAAATGCCTTTTCAAATCTCTGGTACCTATAATGAAGAAAAGAAATGTATATGTTAGTTATGAACAAAACCATAAAAGAAGAGAGCTGCTTGTTTAATGTATTTATGTGTTACTGTTTTTTGTTCTTCTGATGGGAAAAATATTTTCAAACAGTAGGGAATTTGCCTGCTGGGATTTTCTGTATGTGAAATGTTATTGCACTTAGAAGGGCCTTAGTCAAAGAGCCTGCAGAGGCCTTCAATGCAATTTGCAAGGATAAGCATAACCCAGAGAAGGTGCTGTTGAATGTAGGGAAATAATTGCTTAGGAAAAAGTCTCTCATAATTTTTAACTTTATCATGTTTTGTAAGAGAAAAGTATGGGAATATGTAGAATATAGCAAGATAACAGTAATTACCAAACCGAATAATTATACTTTTGTGTTTCATAGGTAAAAGTTGAGAAGCCATACGCTGTATTATTACAAAAGTCATATTTGTGAGTTTTGGAAAATATACACCCTAGGTTGTTCGAAAATGACAGTAGAAATGGTTTCTAAATATTTTAACGTATTTTCTAAGTATGTTTTTTTAATGCTTATTTATTTTTGAGACAGAGACAGAGAGACAGAGGGAGAGAGGGAGGGAGGGAGGGAGGAAGCTGGGGAGGGGCATACAGAGGAGACAGAAGATCTGAAGTGGACTCCACAGACAGCAGAGAGCCTGACTCAGAGCTCAAACCCACAAACCGTGAGATCATAACCTGAGCCAAACTTGGATGCTTTACTGATTGATTGAGCCACCTAGGCGCCCCTTTTCTAAGTATTCTTAAGTATTTTCTAAATACTTCAAACATGACTTTTCTACTCTTTTTACACAATATACACTTTTCCTAAAGTATAACTTTGATAATTATTTTTTTATAATGTTTATTCATTTTTTTTTTTTTTTTTTT